TTCATTCAAATTCCAAATTGGAATCTAGAAACAGTTACGGTGAAGGCGAATCAGGAAATAGGACTATTATATATATATATACTGTCTCTCTCTCTCTATATATATATATATATGAGCAGCGTTCAAAACCTCTATGCAAGAATCACATGATCCGATTAAACTGCAAGACTGTCGCGTAAGCTAAAGTCCGCGCGGCGTAAGGATTGCGTAAGGTTCGGTGGAAGCCAAGCTTAGGACACTCGATGCGTAAGAGATGCGTAAGCAATTTTGAGTCTTCTAGTTACATCGCCAATATACTTTGTATAGTTTTTTGCTGAGAAACACTGCAAGCAGAAAAGGGTTGTGGACTCAATCTCTCAAAGGCCCCATTTGCAGGGATCGAGTGGCCCACGACCACATGAATTCCGCGTAAGCCGATTCGTAAGGTTTGCGTAGGCGAACTTCTCAGACGAAGCCCTTTGCTCACGTCCACCAAAAGTTCTTTCTAAAGAAACTAAAGCAAGCAGCTGCGTGGGAGAAGCACTTTTCAAGCATAAAGCGCACTTTGACCCTCGCTCCAACTGCTTGGTCCCCATGGCTGACAAAAAGAAGCAGCGGGCTCCACCAAGTAAATCATACAAGCAAAGTGTAAATTACTCTACTTCGAGGGATTCCTTCCTCAGAAGCTAGGAGCGCCTACTGCGATCTGGAGCTTGCGATTGAGGTCCGGGAGTGCTCACCGCGATTTGGCGCATGCTGTTGAGGTCCGGGATTGTCTATTGTGATCTAGCGCTTGCTCTTGTGAAACGGGCCGGGAAGAGGAGAAGGAGAGGAATCTTGCCCTAAAATCTATAGTAACTATCCTCAACAGGTTGGGAATAAAGAGTGTTCACCGCTTTGGTGGTAAAACGCCGGCAATAAAGCCGCCGCGTAAGAAACGCGTAAGCCCTAACATCACCGCGTAGGCGAAAATATTGGTAGCGTAAGTATTGCGGAAATTGACGCATAAACAAAGAAGGTTCATAGGGCTAAAATTTAAAGGACTTCGATTATCACTTATACAAATATTATTTAGGTTTTACTAAAATAATATATGTTATATTATATTTGATTTTTATATATTTTCATTTATAAATAAGGGATTATTATGAATGATATTAAATTGATTGATAATATGATATTTTTAATGATTTAATTTTATATATAAATAGATTTTTATAATTTATATTTTTTAGAATTAATCTAAAAATATATGATAATATTGAATATCTTTTGTGATATATTGGGAAAATACGATGATAGAATTATTAAAATAATATTATTTCTTAATTTATATATTCGATAATTATTATTATAAAATATATTTTTTTAAATATGGTTGATGAATTTTAAAAATGATATCATAAAAATATTTTTTTAAATATAATTATTAATGATCGTTCTTATTTATTTATATTTTTTATTTCGTTCCTATGCATTTATCGAGCATTTCTTGGACGCGCTAGCGCTTTCCGTTGCAACATTCGGACGCATGTATAAGGAAATAAAACCTTATTATAATATTTTTTTAAAAATAGTTATAGCGTGAGCGCATCGCAAATTAAATATTTGTAATTGATATTTTGATAGAATGCAACATTGCATTGATAAAATTTTAACCTATTTAATATTTTGAAAGATTTTGCATTTATTTGGCAATATTGCATTGATCTATTTTCGATGTGCATCTTTTGATATATATCCACATGTGTGCATTATTTATTCTGGTTTGTTGTAATTATGCCGGTCATTTATTCCATGATCTGAATGAATTTCTGTTCGAATTATCTTTTGTAGCTTAAAAACAGGTCTTGGCATTATTGGCAAATGCGAACCAATTTTGTGCAAACTAGAATTATCAGATTACGGTGCTTTTTATAAGTATCATGGATATCGCACAATATTGTATGTAAATTGCAAATAGCTTCTTGCACAGAAACATTATGAAAAGAAAGATATTTCTTTGCAAGCACGAATTGGGTTTTCTCAAACCTAATCAACTCGATTTTCAATTCTTTATCACAGCAGTCCTGTTACTGCTGCAGCCATTTTGCCACTTGCATGTGACCCGGCAGAGGTGCAGCTGCTTCCGGGGGTCACAATTTTGAAGTCATAAATAGCCAAAATAATGCTAGGCACGGTGTATATTGGCGATATCAATTTTGCGTTCCAAAATTACCAAAATAATGCAAATATGTTCGGTTCTCATGGTGTGGAGTACCGGGTTGTTTCTATCGATCATTTGCATTGTTTGTTGTTTGCCTTCGTGCTTTTTATTATGGGTTTGGCCACGAATTTTGCGGTCACGCTGGAAGGCGAAGCTAAAGCCTAGGGAGATTCTTACCTTGCCCTTGCAGGAAGGCCCAGCTGAAAACATACGATCCAATAGCTTATCAAATATATGCTAAAATATTATAATCTGTATGGTATATTTGTACACTATATTCAGGAATATGTTATCGGCATGGTGCCTCAGACCTCTCGAACAAGGGACCGAGCTTAGCGTAATTCTGGATGGATTTGGGCTGGATTCTGAATGGATTTGTGCTGGTTTGGAATGATGTCTGGGCGTCCTGTCATCCCTGCTGCCGTGCCCGCCCTTGGCTGGCTGCAGGCAACTTGGCGGGTCGCCAATTGATATTGGACCTGTCTCGGGTTCAGACGAATTCCTCTGCTCAGAGGAAGCTTCGATCTTTGAGTTTACTTTTTATGCAACTATTGCGGGTATGGACGAAATGCGAACTTAATGGAGGTTCAAATTTGGGGTTTTCATATAAATTTATGCACTGCAAGTAGATGCTAAAATATACATATTATAATAGTTTTATCAAAATATTGAATCGATATGAATTTTCATATCAATTTATATTATTATCAATATTACGGATTGGGGTGCGATCGAGCAAAAATACGCGGATTTCTGAAACAACATATTCGATCTAATCGAATTATTTCCTATATTTTCGCCTTTTCATTTTTAGTTTTGGCTCCCTCATAATTGGTCTACGGCTTCCGTCGCGGTCCGGATCCCCCCCCAAATAATTGGATTTTTCATGCATCGAATATAGCTCATAGAACCTAACTCAATGTAGACGAGATGAAAAATGTATGAGGATTTAAGCTTGGAGCTTTCCTGTACGCCTATGCACTGTAAGTAAATGCAAAGAATTCATAGATATACATATATTTATCGCAAAATATTGAATCGAAATAGATAATATGTCAATATCACTCAAGCTACCTCAATGTAGCTCACAGAATCTAACTCAATGTAGCTCCCAGAACTTCAGAGCATTTGGCCCCGTTTTTGCATGGCTCAACTTCTGATCCGTCCAGATCCGTTGGCGCAACTGACACTGGACCTATCTCGGGTTTAGACGAAGTCCTCTGCTTAGACGAAGCTTCACTACATTTCATAAGGTTTCGGGCTGTGCATTTAGGCTTGGAACAAAATAGAATAGTTCCCATTGATGAAGAAATCAATTTCAAATTATTGAAATGATTTGCGACTTTGACATTGGTTCTACCACAGGCACAAGGCAAGCGGGTGGGTCGCCAACTAACGCCGGATCTATTTGCGGGTCAGAAGAAATCCTTTGTTGAGAGGAAACGTTGCTATTTAATGGGGTTCAAGCTTGGAGCTTTCATATAAACTTATGCGCTGAAAATAAATGCAAAGAATTCACAGATATATATATATATATATATTTTTTATACCAACATATTGAATCGATATAGATAATATATCAATATCATTCCAATTCACTAAATATATTGAATATAATTTACAGATTCCGATCAATCCGGATCCTTTGACACCATCGCTCAACTCTCAGGAAGCGACAACTTGGTTGAAGCGTGAGTGCCGCGCAGCAATCCGACTACAGCTCCTAAAGTGACAGTCCGGCAGGCGACAATCACTCGGACGTATATCCATTGGTCAACCTAAATAATCAATTGCAATGGATGGTTATCCGCGCTTTCGGGCAAGTCTGGCGCAACGCTCTGAACTAGATTTTGTTTTTTCGGATTATTAATATATTATGCATGGGTTTCGAAAATATATTGTATTGATGGAAATATGAAATCAAATTCTTAAAATAAATATAGGTCCGTAATGGTTTTTTTTTTTTTTTTTTTTTCCATATAAAGAATATAAATAAAACATTAATTATTTGATATTGTATATAAACCCTTAAAATAATGGATATATTTTTTACAATCGTTTAAAATAAATACAATTAAACTATTCCATTTTGGTATAAATATAATTTATTTAAGATTTTATTTAATGCCAAAATTATTAATTTTTACCATTAGAAATTATATATTTAAACATATTAGTTATATATTAAATTTAAATACTATAAATATATTTTAAAATATATTTTTTTTTTGTTATTACCAAACCACGGACCTTTTTTTCCTTCTTAACCATCAATAAGAAACATAAATCTTCTTTCCATTCATCATATCAACGATTTTTTATATATCAATAAAATACATATTCAATAACCGGCCATAACGACACTCGTTGCCGCCCGGTTCTATTGCAAATCTCATCGATTATTTTCTATAAATTTCTTATTATTTATAACAACCTATTTCCATTAAATATTATAAATATTTCCAAATTAACCATTCCATAAATAACATTTTAAATAATCAATAAATAATATTTATATATAAATATAATTAAAATATCTATTTATTTATGTTAATTTATCATATCAATATTTAAGGTCGAAAATAAATAATAAAAATAATATATTTAAATTATTATATTTTCGGATTTTATAACATAATCATTAACGTCTAAATCAAATTTTAAAAAATTATTTTTAGAAAAATTATTCTATTTTAAAAAGAAGATAAGCAAGGCATATAAATTATCGGTAATTTCAAACATACGAATAATGTTATTATGCAAATTATATCCTATTGAATATATTTTTAATTTTGATTATTATTCAATAATTTTTAAATTTTCAATAATTGATTGTTTGTCTTCTTGAAAATGTTCTGACACCACGTGCTTGTTGCAAACGCCCTGACACCCTTTGCCAAAACGGTTTGCTCAAAGCACACGACCTCTCTGTCACACAGCCAGAGCAGGTCTTCCGGCGACCCTCAGCCTGTTGTGGTTCGTGTCCTGGACGAAGACTGTAAACCGAAAAGCCTCAGGCTGAGGCTTTTTCGTTTATTCTTTTGGGCGGCTTTTGTTCATTTTCACATTGCTCCTAGTAGCTTCTTGTTACTAGTAATGCCAGAAGCTACTAGTAGCGTCCTTGCTACTAGTAGCGATGCCCTTTGCTCCTGCTTCTTGTTACTAGTACTGGGACCATCTTCGGACCCCAAAACATGAGGTCTTTCACCTTTTCTTTCCCTATTCCACCAGCGGAGCTGTGGAACTGACTGAACTTCCTTCACCGACCGGATCGATCTCCGGTCGGTCTCGCTGCACGCGATCTCTGGGACTCCGGACATCCACAGCCTGGAAGATCAGGCCCCGCAATCGCACCTGACGGTCCAGCTCTCCCGCGGTGTCGCCCGGTTGCGCCGGCAGCTCGCAGCGTCCGGTTGCAGCGTGGGAGGGCTCGGGTGATGTCCGGCGTGACCCAAGGAGCCAGCGGCGCCAGCTGAGAGGGCACTCTAGAGAGGGGCCTCAAAAAATCATGGAAGTGGAAAACCACCTAGATGGTGGCCTACATTCCGCTTCCATGATTGTTCTAGGGAGTGTACAGTCAATAAAAAACAAGTAGTACGCAGCAACACGAAACTCCTTGCCGTAGCTTCCCCACCACTTGGGAACCACCACTACGGTGCTGGGTAGCAAACTGACGGCGTGCCGAAACTGGTGATCTGGCCTGCCACAAGGTGCAGGTGCTAAGAGGCCTGCCCAGGGTACGAAGCTGCGCTGGCAACCAGGCCCTGCCAGTTTTGGCACGGTGCAGGAGGTCCCACCTTCATGTCAGTCTGTGAATTCCAACCACCGAGCCTATCTTTGGAGCCTTCTGTACAGCAATCAATTGAGACACGAGGTCTTTTTGACACTCGCTCAATTGACTGCTGACATGCCACATTCTAATAAAACCTCGGCTCATTGACTGCACTTCTGCTCATGCTGCTCCTCGCATCGCTATCCGTCCGTGAGCTCCCAACCACATGCTTCTGCACTGTCCGTCATACCATCATTGAGCTCCCAACACGGTTCTTGTGACCAAAGTCCCACCCATCTTAATCCTCATGTCCGAACGACACAGCTCCGACGACGCTGGTTTTTTCTGCAGAAGTTCGGCAGCATGGACCAGTGCTGAGGACACGGCAACATCACTGGGCCGCACGCCGAAGGCACTGGCCTTGGGATGGCTGAAGTTGTGCAGCTTTGAGTGCAACTTTGACTGGTAACATGTGTCTACACCCTGCCATGTTTCGATGGTTGTTTCGATCTGTGCCGATTGTTGGATGTGCTTTTTTTTGTTGCCAGTGGTTTGTCACTTCCATGTTCTTGGCCCATTTCACCAAATAACATTAACTATAACTATACCTGCAGCTACCTGCGGGATACGATACGTGCTTCGTATACGTGTGGTTTGCCCAGTGGATCATCGGCTCCCCATGGCCTAGAGGCAGGCCTAGGGGCCTAGAGGCATCCGAACTGCTGGAACTGGGCTTCCTTTACTTCAAGATTCCACTGGCCAAACAAACATTTGTGAAAACAGGACTTCTCCATCTCAGAATCGAGGACAGCCCGATAGCCCTGCTTGCCACACTGCTTCATGCTGGTTCTATCTTCTTCTCGCAAATTCAACGAACGAGCAGACTGAGCTGCATCCTTTCAGAACCACAAAGACACGCTCTGGAAAGCCAAGCTGCAAGGGAAGACTCAGCTTTGGTTTCAGCTTTACCTGGCGGTTTAGCTTGCAGATTCTCATGCAAACTCGTTGCCCTTCCAAAGCCAACCGTCCAACCACATGCCAGGACCAGCCGTCATCACCTGCAGGCTTCGAGCTTGCCTCAACGTGGCAGGAATGCAGGAACACGCCCACCACATGGCACCCCAAACCATCCAAAACGCAGTACCCCCTTCGCGGACCTACAGATGCTTGTCTTCTTTGGAAGGCAAACCCGCTTAAATATCGGTTTGGGTTCCAATGGATCCTTTGAATTCTTGAACAGCTGAGTCACCACTGAGCCGGGCATCAATTCACCAAGGAAACACCAACGCCACCACACCCCCGTCCCTTCCCTTTTTTTTTGTCGTCCACTCCGTCTGCCGAGCCACGTTGGCGAAATGTTTCTTGAAGTAGTCCGTGAGTTGGACTTCAAAATGCCGCTTGAAGGCCTCGAGTTCGGACGGCCACCGCGACCTCGCTCCGTCCGACCGAACCACCGACCTCAACCCCCTCCGTGTGACATTCATGAGATGTCTGATGGTTTTTTGAACGGCGGTTTTTGTCTGACAATTTCTTTGCTTCGCTGTCCAAAACCAGCGACCACGAAGGGACAAGGATCCACGGTTTTGACGGGATCTCTTCAGATCGGCCTGCTCCAGCCGGTGCGACCATTTGGAGCCTTGGTGTGTTCTCCCACCACTGGCGGGCGCCAAATTGTAACATGGTTCAGGACAAATTCTCTGGAAGCAGAGTCTGAAAACCGCACAAGAGCTTCATAAAGCTTCTGATGCTGAGGCGGGTTCCATCCAAATTGGGTCTCGCAAAGATGGCACTAGATGCATCTTTTCCTGCCGATCGATGTAGCACCAAACATCACCAAACACAAAACATACGCGCTGCAGAATCCCAGTCTTCCTGGGTCTTTAACCAGATTCTCAAAACTCCAAACTGTCCGTTCTCCAAACTGCAGTTTGTCACGTCTCATGTGCACTTCTTCAATTCGATCCCAGTTCCCGTCCTGTCTCGTTGTCAGTCCTCACAACTCCTCTCGTCTTCGCTTCTTCGTCCGAACGGAGCGACGTCGGCGCCTGAGCCTTCTCGGCTGGCACCGCTGGCACCCAGAGCCGAGGGTCGCACCGAAAGGTGCTGCCTGTTTTCAAACGACCAAGACGGAGTGGATGAGAAAGAGGAGAACGAAAAGAATGAAGCCAATAGAGAGATAGAGCAGGATTAGGATTGACATGTTTGGTGACATGTTACTGGTCTAGTTGCGGTTTTCCTTGATAATTTGGTGTTTGGGACATCTGAGACTCCTAATTGTTTGGTTTTGTTTCACCAAAACTAGTGAGACCATAAGAATCGATGGAGTTCTTAAAGTAAGGGTGCATGAATTTGAGAGATCACGGCTGCAAACCACATTTAGCCTCTCATACCCTCTCCCTCCTTGCCTGTGTCTGGCGGCAGAACCACGCCTTACTATCTGGAGGCTTGCCCAGAAAGCTCAACTGGCACAAGGGGGCCTTCATGAATAACCAATTGCGTTATATTTATACCTGTATCCTATAGCTAAATATTATGCTGTATTGAACTTGAACTCTTTCTGGACATCCAAGCTGCATATGCCCCACAAAACTCCCCCATAGGGTGAACTTGGTTGCAGAGTGGATGGATCAAAATGGGATCAGGTAGGGACACATCTCCAATTTGGAAGCTTTCGCAATTTGGAGTCATTTCAAGTGATACCATGTCATACCCATCATCTCAGGCTTTCACAAAACCAGCTACCATGGATGTCCATGCTGTTTCATTCTGCATCTGATCATGCCGAGACCTGCACACTTTTCGAAGAGCTACGGTCTCATCCGGGCTCTCGTCCTCAGGAAGCACGGCAGTCGCGGCAGTCGCTCGCCGTACGACCGGTCGAAGCCAAACGCGACCGGTCGAGTACGGGGGTCCTGGTGGTCGCCGCTCCGTCCATCGTGATCGCCTTCGACTTGCACGATCCGCGCGTCTTCTCGGGTGTTGGTCGCCAGGTCTCAGCTTGCCGAAGAAGAATCCATCCCAAATCCGTCAGATGCCTTTATCCAACTTCATGCTTCATCCAAATCCGTCAGCCATGAGAAAAACATCCCCTCCATCCGGTGGGCCTCGACCTTCCGGGCTCGCAGCCCGTCCAAAGTCAAACCTCGGCCGTCGAGTTCGGTGCCAAGCCCGATGCCGGGCCCAGGGGGGACAGCTGACGTGAGCGCAGCGCTGACCATGACTGGAAAGCTGACGAGCTATGAATTGATCGAACATCATATGAAGAACTGGTTTTAACCATGGTTTAAACATTCGAAAAAAAACACGTGGTAACCTGGTATGTACGAGTGTCGTTCTGATTTGTTGAGAATCTGTTCCACAAGCTGAGGGCTCCGATCTCTGTGCATTGTAGGTCGAACTCATCATCGGCATCGTCAAGAGGTGGCAGATGTAAATCTGCCTTAAAATTGCCTTAGGGTCCGTGCGCTTCCCGCACCAGACAGGAGGCCATCGCTACTAGGGTGGAGGACTAGGGTAGAGGCCATCACTCTTATGTACTTATTGTGGAGGCCATCGCTACATCTGGCTGCAACGCTGTTCCTCTCTACGCCGCCAAGTTGAATCGTTTCACCCTTTTGGATGAACGTCTTTTGACACGCCGGCTGAGCGGAGTGCAGTTCAAACGGCAAATGTTGTACATGGAATGTTGTACAACATGGTCCACCATAAGTAGAGCATGGCAGAGCTTTAGCAGCTGGCAGATCATGCAGGTGCACTGATCAGGGGCTTTTGCAGGTGCACTTTAGGGAGCGGGCAAACAGCTGGTGAAATCATTGGCGATGGCAAAGGAGACCTTGAGTTCAACGCGCGGAAATACTGTAAATCGCTTGGTAGCCGTCCAGCCCGGTCTAACCCCCCAACACTGATCAGCGCTTCTTGCTTGGCTTGGAGCAGCCTTTCAACATCAACCGCTTCAATCAAGCACATGACAGAATCCATTTTCCGCGCGACTTGCGTAGAAAAGAATCGACCGCCTTCCTACCTATAGAGGCCTTCGTACAAAAACGCTCGTTCGCCGCGCATGAAACCCATCAACTTCGTCTCCCAAACGACTCGCCTCGTTAGATCACGAGAAAACGACCCCTCATCCCTCAGCTTCCCGCGGACAAGCTGGAAAGGAATGGCCTGGGGAAACTTGTCGACCTCACAGCCGGTGCGGACCGTCGGGACCGGCGGGCTCCTTTCCGCCACGATGCGTATGGATGATGCGTCGCGAGGATGCCGGCGGGCCAGTGAACAGCTGAGATGCGGACGTATTGGTGAGCAAGCCCGAATTGAATCAAGATCCAAACTTTCCACTGTTGATGAGACCTAGGAGCGGCCCAGCAATGGAGCAAATTGTCTGCTGCAGCAGTCATGGTATCATCGAAAGAGATCTGTTCTGGGTTCTTCCATCGTCTTGCATGGAACCAACTTTGCTTTCAGGGTGCTCAAATTCTGTCCATACGGCAAAAAACACTATACAATTTGGTTCTATCCAAATGAGCCAAATGTCGATTTTTGAATACCTGTATTGTTTCTCTTGGACTTGAAGATCTTAAACAGGTTTCAATCATCTACAAAAATATCCAGCACACTTTTCAGGTGTGGATAATTTTTCGGAAGGGTGCGCCATGTTTGAACCCGTGCGCCTTCGGTCCATAAATCTATAAACTCGCTTGATTTCTGTGCACTTCACCGCGAAGATAGGTCGGTCTGAAGTCACTCAATGAGAACGAAGGGGTGCACTCTGAAGTCACTCAGTGCCCCCCGAGGTCTTTCGGGCTTTGCACCGTCCAAACCAGGGAACCAACAGCCCTGGTTTACTGCCTTTCAAGAAACTTTTGGTCAAACACCGGTGAAAAAAAGGAGCGGTGAGCTGAGCTCGTCTTGTGGTGAATGTATTACTTTCCTCCACATGCTTCCATGTCAGAACAAACATGAACTTCTATTTTCGGCCCTTGGGTTCCAACGGCCCGGCGGATGGGGTCGGACCGCCTGGGAGGTCTCCCTATACGTTTTATACTACTACATTGGTCAGGATTTTCCATGGTCCATGCTCCTCACCTCACCATGTCCTTCAATCCCAGTGGCTGTACCATGTCCTTCACCCACAGCTGCCAATGCTGAATCAACACCTTGAGACGCGAATCGAAAGCGATGTCAGCGAAAGCCACGTCCACGCCGTTGGACAGAACATGGTACCTACTATACCCATGCAAGAGGCAGGACTTCGTGGCCATGTCTTGAAATGGGGGTCCCCCCAACCAGTGCCTTCTCATCAAAGTATTTCACCTCCGGCACCTCACTAACACATCATTCCATATTCCTACCACCGTAAGACTTAGTTGTTCTATGATCCAAAAGACAACAAGGGGGACATGTGGAGACCTTATGTAAAGCGTCAGCGTGGTTTAAAAAAAAAAAACGCGGGTCCAGAACAGGTCGCCCCACAGCGCGTGATCATCTTCTCTAAAACACCTCGGGCGCTTCAGGTGGCCCAATCGGCAAAGCGGTCCAGTTTCTCCAGTTCTGCACGAAGAAGAACACTTGGATGTCATAGTCGATCAACTGTCAGTTGAAATCCCTTAAATGTCTACCATGATTTGCGGATTAGCAAACATGAATTCAATTGATGAATGATGAATGACTAAGCATTCCACAAGGCCACATCTCACAAAGAAGCAAACCTGCTATCATTAAACTTGGGGGACGCGAGACGTCGACTGCCGCGTGGAGGTCCGCAAGGTACGCCGACGAACTACCTCCAGTCGTTCGCCGTCTCTGGCAAGCTGCTGGGCTGAACTGGAGACTCATCTTCGCTGCATCGATCCTCTCTGTACATAATGAGACCTGGTCACACAAGACATATAGCTGCAAATATAAATGCAATAAATACGTATAATATACATGCATTGCAATATGATGCATTTGTTGGGTGCAAGATCTGCAGCCAGAAGTTCTGCTTGCCCATGAGTGCTTCTTCTGATCTGCACACCGCTCGGCCTATTTGGTGCAAGGTCAATCCATGCTCCGCTCCCTTTTGCAAAAGCATCGTGGTCCTTGGCGCTGCCGCTTCTTGTCGCCGCTGCGCTTCTGTCGTCCCGGTGCGTCCCGTGCGGCGGCCCGGGGCGGAGCCCTGTGGCGTCGGCACCGGTCGATGGGTGTTCACCCAAGGAGCACACACCTCCATTAAACGAAGGCACTCCCGACCTGGGCGGCTGATGGCGGCTGCGGCACTCCACGGTTTTTTTTCTTTCGTGTCGCGTGAGAGGTACGTCGCGCGAGAGGTTCTTGTGCCATGCTCCAAAGGTCTTCAAGTGATCAGTGCAAGTATTTCGGGTCCACACGACGAAAGTAGGGAATGTCTGCCATTCAAACATATTCAAAACACTCCCTGCGAAGCTCTTTACTGCCAGGCTGCCAGGGCCCACACGCACTCCGACCTGCCTTTCGATGCTCACAGCATCCCGAGCTCCATCCAAAGCCCTGGCGGCAGTCGCAGATTAATTCGCAGGTCATTCACGGCTCCCAGAAAGGGTTCCAAATGAGGTATGTTCAAGTACACTCCTTGAAATCATGGAAGTATGGCACCACCTGTTTGTAAAATGGTGATATTATATTGAAAAAGGAACCATGCAATCCACTTCCACGATTATTTCAGGGAGTGTAATATGTGAGGCTCCATCTAATCTGATCATATGAATTACAATTTCAAGAGTCAAGAACTTGTTCATCTGTAATGAATAACCAGATCACAAATGGCACAGTCACCCAGGCTGCCCCCGACAATCTTTGTGTCAACTATTCCCAAACCACAGTACCAACCACTTGCATTCATTGGAGGATGATCCTGTGAATAGATTGGTCGCATTCCAAAAAGGTCGCGACCGCATCTGGCGACCGCATCTTCTCCGCATCCTCTCGCCTGATATACTCCAGTTCTTTGGCTCCAAAGGGCTCTCGGGCCTGAGAGACGGTGCGCGAAAACGGTGCACGGTCGGTGCTTTAGGGCGAGATGGAAGAAAAACGATAACATGTTGTTTAAGAAATATAGAGAACATAAGTAACGTTACGTTTCGTTTCACAAACTTGGAACCCAGGTCACCAGCTGGAAGGTGGGTTGAAAGATGTATGTCGACACAATGATCAGTTCATCCAGTCTGCCGTTTCTCAAAGCCTTTTCCAAAAGAACTTGAAACGACAATGCCGGTGCCAGTCCTGAGGCCACTCCATCCAAACCAGGTCGCAGGTATAGACCTGAGGACGGACAGAGAGGACTCGGACAGAGAGGATTCGGAGGTCGGATGGAAACCGAGACGATGAACGCAACCATGTTCGCTACGTTCGGGGCTCCTGGCCTTACTACGAATGGAGCGATCCGACGCGACTCGAACGGGGCGAAACTGACATCGCGAACCGAACGGAGCATTCTTGCTTCTATTACGTAACTTAAGAAACTACTATAGGAACAAGTGCATCGCTTCGTTCGTAACAAGTGCCTTACTAGTAACAAGAAACTACAAACAGCAAGTCACTGAGATGTCTAGACAGTCAGGTCGAGAAACCCTCCTCCGAGTCAGGTCGACTCTCGCCCGTCCTGCCCGACGGTCGACTCGAGCAGCTGACCGTCATGTGTTTTGGGGGGGTCTTGAGGCGAAGGTCTTGACGGTTTCCATCGGTTTCCCATGGTCTCCCTGTTGAATTAGAACATCCTTCCATGAATCCAGCCACACCCGAACGGAGACTGCCGTGGACGCCGTGGACTTTCCCATGTGGATACCGCAGGAGACCGAATCAGACCGAATCTGCCCCCGATCGGTTTGGAATCACCGGCACTCACTCAAGCTGATTGGATCCTGGTTTTGCAGCGACCAAGGTCTCTGCCCCCCAAAACATCCAAACACTGCTACCAATCCACGGCCGCGGCCCAAAAATTGCATGGCCGCCTCCAATCGGTCTGGAAGGGAAAGGCCGTGGTCAATGGGAATCAGCTTCGGCCTGTAACAGCAGGTTCCGGAGACATGGTTTAACGGTTTCGGGTGCAGTTGGTGCAGTGATCTGCAAACAACAGGTGAATACTCCTAGATTGTATGAACTTGAGCATTCCTGTTCACTTTTTTTCCTGGTGCAATCTTCCTTGGGATCCAAACCAATTAGTATTGTGACATGTGGGTCATGGCGAAATGGTAGTGTCCAACAGTGTCGTGCTCATTTTTACAAGCAGTGGATGAGATGAAGAGGATGCTTGAAGTGGCCAATTTTGTGCTCCGTTCTTGATCTCGTTTCACATGAATTCACTTTCGGACCTAGATGTTTGGGGCCAACGTACCGAGTTAGGTGTCTTTGCAGAATACTGGCGCCAATAGATCATCCAACCAAAGGGAACTCCTCACGTCGCGGTGAGCACCTCCGTTTCGTCAAGCCGCCGCTCCGCCCCGCTTCCCCGCTCCCCCGCTCCGCTCCTTCGGTTTTCGATGGCCACGAGCAAGTTGCCGTCGTTCCGGTCCAAGTTCACGAGCCGCACCTCGGTGCTGCGGACCGCGCGAGGCTTCGAGACGGAGTGAGAGACGGAGGGTCGTAGTGGGGCACCCAGTGTTGCCGGAGTAGCTCATCGACTTCGGTTCCAGATGTTTTGGGGTTGAAAATAGGTTGGAATGGTACAACATGGTACAACTACTATCAAATAGCTATATTAGCAGCTATATCACATGCAATTTCATGGAATTGACCAGGTCCCAGCTGGTACCGTTTCGCGTGGTCTTCGTCGCCGTTTCGCGGACCATCGCGGTTCCCCGTCGTCTCAGACCCGACCTCAGACCGCATACCGCTCCGCTCGACTGGCAGCCGGACATCCAGGATACCGATCGCGTGGACTGAGGGCACGCTGAACATCTGCACGCGAGACCGGACGGGTTTTGGATCTTCTTTGTTTGTTTGGTTTTTCTTCATGTTTTGCGCAGACCGACATCAGGAAAGAAAGGAGATGGACATGGTTAAGGGGTGGAATTTTCCTCATTGTCATGTCATGTCTATCAACAGTTCCTCTCACATAAAGATTTATGACCAGACCCTATTGGTTGTTGCTCCATCTGGTTTCATCCCATGTTCTTTGCATCGAGCAAATCCCGCAAGATGCCGTGACTCGTGACTCGTGACGCGTGGTGACATGAGCTCTATGTCGATGGGAAAACATCGATGGGAAAATCCGACAGACCACACACTATACTCACTTACACCAAGCATGAGTCTAGACTCTTCATCTTCTTCCAGCTCACCTGGTCAGCAGAAACCTTGCAGAAGTGGCTACCTCTTCGCTTCCCTCCACGCTGGAACCCCGAGAAACCGCGTAACCCCGCGCGTAACCCCGCGCGTAACCCCGCGGCGTGTATGTTCCCGCCGCGTAACCCCGCGTCCGGGCAGACCTGGCGACCGTAATCCCCGCAGGTGCCCTGCGAATGGACGAACTCTTGGAACGCGCCAATCTTCCAGGCCACCTGGCGAGACCGAGCGAGGGCCGCAGGCCGCAACCGCCGCAACCGCCGCAGGGCCGAGCCGAAGATGGAGCGCATCGAGGTGATTCAGAGCGGTGGAGGTGTTGTACTGGGAGCTCTGGTCATATGGCGGTGGCACAGGAGAGCTGGGACCAGGCAAAGTGAACAGATGGACTACTAAGGAGGGTCAACCTACCGGGTTTGAGGCTTCGGGCTTGGAAACACAGCCAAATTGGATCATATTATGGATTGAAATGTGAGACGTGAGACATCGTGACCGTGGAAATGAGCAGAAGATGTCAGGATTCTACCGGTGGTCTACTCACAGTTGAATGAGCTTGCAAGGTTGTGGCTATGCCGGCTAATGCTATGCTATTCCAGCACAACAGTTCTGTGCTGTTCGAATGCTGCAACTCATCAGCTCTTAACATCAGCAGAACCCAGCGGACCAGCTACAGACTGACTGCCCACATACCCTCAAAACCCCTGACTGACTGCCATGCAAACCTTCTTGTTGGGATTCACGAACGATGGATGCTTCGCATGTACCTTACGAGGCACACGAAGCAACGCTGCACAAGAAAAAAGGCGTGTGGCATTGCCCTGCAGCACAGCGTGGTTTGCGTGTATGGGCACCATCGTAGTTGGAGGAACCCCTGCGAATTGTTTGTGGTCCAGCAAATAGGCAGCCACCTTCCCAGGGCGTTGATGGCAACACCTTGACATCTCTCTTTAACCAATGAATCAAAATGGGCGCGTCTGATTGACAAAACTTGGATAACTACATCACTTGACAAAACCTTTACTTTTGAACATACCGGATCACTCAGCCTGTGACATTAACACAGTGCACAAAAGAAAATAAAGAAACAACTATAGGAAGACGACCAAAGCTGCTGTGAAATGCATTCTGTTGATGAAATACATTGGCCACACCCTGCCGATGGCCTCTCGAGCGGCCTGCTGCGTGGAACAAACACCCTGCCGCAAGCTCGGCGAATTCTCCTGCTGGCGCCGAAAGGCGAAAGTGACCAAAGCACCGGCGGGAGACGCCTTTTTCGGATGCAAACGGAGGCGCCAACAGAACCAAACGAACGAAGGAAGCATCTCCCCCGGTCCGCCGGTGGAAGCCGAAGCAAGTTGGAGCGCGTCAGGGAATATATATGGAATAGATGCATAGCGATGGATAGGAGCTTTACTTCAACCGATGTCCCAAAGCGCTTCACAGAACCGGATTCTAAGTGCTGCCAAACATGCAATAATTCATTAGACCATACTTTTCCTCACTCATGTCTGTGTGTGTGCCAGGATATTGTATTATGCAATTCCGCTTTTGTCATATAATATGGTGAAGCACTGAACAACGAGAAACAACCTTTGCATCCCAAGAGTCTCCCATAGTCTCCCCATCCAGCGGAGTGAAACACTCATGATCATCATTTAATCGAGATCGCCACTGTGCTTGGTCTCTTCGAATCCAACCGATTCGATTCCGAAACGGATCACACTCCTCGGCCACATAGCCACGTGGATTGTTCGGTGCAAAAGCTTCCTCATCCTTTGGCTTGAACCTGGCGACGTCATCGATTACTCCCCGGTGATCATGGACGAAGGGACGAGAGTATACTGTGTGTGGAAAACCCACAGTAGACTCAGTTTGGGAGTCCGGGAGTCTCAGTTTTCCGGAAAACACATGTCTACACATGTCATTAGAAGACATGCGAGCACTCCGACGAAGTCATGTTTTTTTTGCTTTTTCGTAGGAGCAAGAAGCTAGGAACAAAGGCTCGGATGGTCTCCTTTTCCTGGGTAGGAACAAATCCCATCTTGCCCCTCAGCACCATGTCCCTCTACCTGGCGTCTCGGAGAAGTCGCTTGGCTAATCCTCTGAGTAGGTCTGGGCATGTGAAGTATCACTGGTTACGCACTTCCCTGGTATTTTGGTTCAATCTGAGGCAACCCACACAGCCAAGGTCTTTCCAGAGGAGGCTCCTCTAAGCATGTACCTCTTCGGAAGCTGAATGAGAGGTAGCTGGACATGCCAACGCCAAAAGCAATTGCAAGCGGCGACGCTTAGAAGCAGTGTCACGTGGCTCCAGTTCCATCTTCCGTCAGCTTGGGCTTGATGCCGGTCCGCATTGCATCACTAATCTCATTGACCTTATGATCACAGGGCATTTCTGCAAATAGACGAAAATTACATCTCTCAGACACACACACACACACACGATGTGGACACATGTTTACGTCACTCATGCTCAGGGTGTGGTTTGGGAGGACCGTGAATACCATTATACTTCTGAGACACCATGTGGCACCATGGCCAGCTAACTTCCGAAATCCTTCAGCTAACTCGTCGCTCTCAGGTCGCAGCTAACTCGAGCAACGAGGACCGCGTGGGCACTTGCTCATCTCGATACATCCCGATGTCTTTGGCCTCCTTGGCTCGCGCATCACTGCGCCGCCCGGGCACGCCGAAACCCGTGCGGGTCGTGAGGAGGCCCAGCGATGATGGATGATTGGTCCAGCTGGGGAGCGGGCGGAATCCATCCTGTCGCCCTGATCTAGGAGGACAAATTGGATCTCTGCCGGACTGCGCGAGCAAACACGAGCAGTGAGACAGTGGCACAAGTTGGGTTTGGGTTTGTCTGTGAGAATCTGAAATCAGCGCAGCTTGTGGCACAAGCACAAATCGGATACACAAAGATCCCAGCTTCTTCAAAGTGACCTCTCTGGAGTGCCTAGGTGACCTTTTAGAGGCCCTATTGACCTGAAACGGTCCATTTCCACAGAGGTCACTTTGAAGAACCAGGGAAGGATAAGTGTCAGCACATTCTCCTGCCTGAATGCCGTACTGTTCTTGATGTAGGTCTCTACGCAGTGTCTGTTACGCAGTTCAATTCCCTTGTGCAGTAGCCTGGAGGTTGGGCTTGGTGCAGCAAGGCACGCATGCAAAAAGATCAGTCGTGAGCATGATTGAGGTCACAGACTAAAAAGATACTGAAGGCACTACTATACTACCTCTTGCAAACATGTCTGGTGGAGGAGAGCGTTGTGATGGCAGGCCGGAAGTATGGGAGGAGGTGGTTGTACGCGGTGTTGATGATGCTTAAATGGGATTTTAGCATCGTAAGCATTTTGCTTCCTGCCAGGTCAACACAGCATGGGGCATGAGACTGCGCCGGAAATGATGCACAATACATCCAAGTGCACCTTTTGTTGACATTGGTATTCCAAACATGTCAACTGAATTGCCAAGGGCTATGGACTTCCCTTAAAACATCCTTAATGATGGCACGATTGGTCCATGCCAATAGAAATTGAAAACAAAAACCGATGGTCCATGCCGATGGACTTCGACTTCGACCGACTTCGACCGACAGACCTCTGAAGTCTTGGACTCTTTGGACCCGTTTCACCACATCGACTCATCACGACCGACCCACCGACCCACCGACATCAAATCGACAAGAAGAAAAGGAGAAAACGTCAACAACCCATCGAAAACCATCACATCCCCAAACAAAACATATAGGAATACCATGGAATACCATGCAGATGTGTCGTTTGTGTCCTGTTTTTTTCCGCGAAAACCATGCCTGATGTTGTGATCCGGAATCGCCTCACGGCCACACATGCCACCGGCCGCGGCGTGCAAAATCCGCCGGCGCAACGGACGGATTTTCCTCTCCGAGTGCCGGGCCCTGAGTCCAGAGCGGTGTTCCTGCGAGACGAGATCAACGTTTAAATCAGTTGGAGGTTTTAAATAGTTTAAGGATGTTTAAAACAAACGAAATAAACACATTGTCATATGTTTTTCTCACGTGATGTTCTCTTGCTTCAATCTTTAGACTTTCTGTTAGATGGCTTTTCCTTTTTTCACCGCATCTCGATACGAAATCCACACGCAGTGGCTCCCGCATCTGCTTCTTGATCATCTGCCAGGTATTGAAGGGCATTACCTCAACCAACTCACCCGACCCCAACAACCAGTCCATCCGTGCGACGAAACATTGGATCTCGAGGCCATCTCAGGGGCACAGAAGACGACGGAGTCTTGAAGAGGTGCAGGCCTTCCTACCCCTTCCATAGCCTTCCTTTGCAGACGTGAAAAGGGAGTCGGCAGAGAGGCCGTGTCAAAGGCCTATGGTTGAGGTTTTGGGGCTTCTTTTTCAACTCTTTCTCAAGCTGGAAACCCAGCGGTTCTCCTGCTCTGAAACGCGGGTGGCCCGTCGTTCGGGTTTCGGTTCTTCTTTCCGCTCACTCGGGTGGCCACCGTCAGGTCAATGCCTTGGCGGCACGGGATGGCACGGGACTGGATGGGATAGGCGGAGCAGGAAGGAAGGACGGAGGAACCGGTGCAGGTGGGGTGAAGGGAGAGCGAAATGTTCGAAGATATATTGCTGGTCTCAGTGGATGGTCAACCAAGAAGGGATCAACCATGCAGTCTCCGCCAAGTGCACCAAAAAAGATACAAGATACAGGCAAAAGTCGGCCAACACCAACAACTGGATGAACTGCTAGATCTTCGACATGTTTGAGCAAAATCGAGTTTTGTGTTTCCTTTTTTCGTGACCCGACTCTCTTCTCTTGTCCTTCTCTCGTCCGGGGCGATGGCAGTCGGTATCACGTTGACCCGGATGTGCTGAGCGTATCCTCAAATGGACCTGAGACGTGTCACGCCCGAGCCGGTCCGAGGATGTTCGAGGACCGTGGTGTTCGGAATGCTGAAACACTGGAAGTAGAGAGACCTTCTAGGGATGACATGAACGTATCCTCTTTAATTTTCTATAAAGAACATATTAAATAGTAAAAATAAGAAAACACAAACAACCATCGAAACCCATCACATCCCAGAAAATGATATGAACATATAGGAACACCATGCAGATTTGTTGTTTGTTTCCTTTCTTATCTTTTTTTCAATGTTATGTTCCTCTCGTCTGCTTTCCACTCAGAAGACCGACAAATGGCTCCTTCAGCCTGAGCTCTTCACAGGCTCATCTTCGACAAGGCCCATCTCCCCAGCATAAGTGGCCGGGTCATTACTGCCAAACCTCAACCGACTCTGCAAACCAAATGATGG